TGCTAAATGAATGATGTTCAATGTAATTTCTTAACAGCAAATGCAGTCAGTAAAAAAAAGTTTCATAGAAATCTTCTCTCGCTTGACTGTTGCGTAAATATCTTTTTAAACTAGGCAACAAGTGACCATGATTTATGCTGGTAAGTTTCAAAAGCCCAAATTGATTTTTTGTGTTATTTTTCACGGTTTACCAATTTTCAATGCTATTTTGAGCTGTACTAATGCAGAAAAAAAGCAGATGAATTTTGACAAAAAAAAACATGAAACAGCTCCAAAGCTTTTTTTGACTTTTTCCGCTTTTTCGCGGTTTTTTCAAATCTTTCAATCAAAACTGTAAGTCTTGTTGAGTCAATACTTAAAAATTGAACGCAAATACTCAGCCGAAAAAAATTTTGTAACGATAAATTTTGATAATCATCTGAATAAATTTTGAACAATTATGATTCAACTTAAGGAAGGGCATCATAAAACATGTGCGGCATATTTCTGCCAACTGCATGAAGAAGTCAAATACCAATGAAATGAGAGGTGAAAAAAAATCTTGTATGCCGATCAGAATTGCTGTTCATGGCATTTGGCAGTAAATTCATGCGAAACAACAAAGAAAAATATTTTTTGGATTTTTTTGAAAAGACTGGAAAGAAGTATCTCCATAAGTCAGAAAGCAGCGAATCTGATTCATTTGAGATACTTAAATTGCTACCACCAAATTGATGCTAGTTTTCTCAAATATTTTCTTTGTTACAACTAATTGTCAATTGAGTAGATTTTCAAAAAAAAAATGATCAAGTTTCCTTTTCATTTAAAGTTTTCTTCATTTGAAGTTTTCACCATTTTCAGTTTCACATCATTTTAAAGTTATGATGGGTTTTCATTCATCTGCTTAAGCCATCATTGTTTAGTCAAGTAGCTGCCTTTTTACAGAGACAGATAATATTACAAGGTGTTTGGAATGGCTTTTTTAGTCCGAGGGCAAATTTTGATAACTGTCAACAATTATGTACATGTAAAAAAAATTGCAGATGAAAAAAAAAGATTTAAAAAATGTTTTCAAAAATATTTAAAAGCCTAAAAAAGCCGTACAGATGCGACAAGAGCAGTTGCGTGCCGAGGGAGGAAGGCGGGGGGGGGGGGGTCATCCCGCCCTCACTTCTGAATGCCAAAAGTTTTCCATTTTCCCCTTTGTGGTATAATTTTACGACATCCATTTGTTGCTAAACATTCCCAAATTTTTTCTAAGACGCCTTGGGCGCCAATATGAATAACTTTGAGGGGGGAGCACGCGCCGCAAAAACGCAGTTTTTTTGGTCAAAATTTTCCATAAAGTTGCTAAAAACGCATTTTTTGACCTGGTTTTTTCTATAAAACTTGCCTGTGGCACAAAAATTTGTTTTGCAAAATAGGAAGGTCCGTATAGAAAAAAAACGGAAAAAAGTGAAAATGTTTGACCTAAAAAAAGGTCGGCAAAATTTTCGAAATTTTTTGAAAAACAAACCCACCCCCTCCCCCCCTATAAAAAAAGTTCTGAACACGCCACTGGTGAAGAGTATTATCCAAATTTTTACCAACCTATCACAATCTCTCCTATTGATTGAACTGCTCCAAGAAGAATGGCAAGAAAATAAAAAGCAGCCATAACTTTGATAACAGAATTTAGAAAAAGTGTGCTGGGTAGAGTTACACATATGACTTTTGATTTCAATGATTTTTTTTAATGAAAAACTCAAATCAGAAATGATTTTTTTAAGGTCAAAAACAAACTTCTCAAAGAAAATTTAGAAAAGCTAACGTTCAGCTGAATCTTAAAAGCTAACATAAGAGGACTTATTTCTAAGTTAGCCCATTCTTTGAATTGTAATTCCTGTTTTAGCATAATATGTCTACCAGGCCTAATGAGTCATTTATGAAACACCTATCATAAATTTAGCAAACACTTAGCAAAAGAACTGATCAGAAGAAAACATAAAAAGAGATAAAATATCCAAAAAAGATAGCTCAATATAATTGCAGCTCACTGTGAAAAATTTGGAGTTTTTTTAAACAGTTTTTTGAACCTTTACTTGTACAGAATACAATGTAGATCAACGACAATTCAAAGAGTCATTTTTTGTCAGTCTGATTTTCTGAGCACTTCAAACAATTATCAAAAACCCTTCTCTGTAAACAATGTCTTTTCCGCTCACAAATTTTATTAAAAACAGGCCAAAAATAAAATTTCATTACGCATTTGCGAAAGCGCTTCTAGAAAAGTTTTACGATCGGTCAGCTGAAACTATATGTCGTACTAAAGTATTAAGTCTGGGGCCCTATGGCTTGCACAGAATTGAATAAATTTTTTTTGCCGCGCCTCCCCCTAATTGCGATATTGCATAAGAGGTTACTGTTGACACAGACGAAGCAGAATAATTGCGAGGCCCAAGTGTGCACTAGATAGGTGCAAATTTTGTGTCTTTACTTTCCTGGATTTCAGAGACAAGTTTTTAAACCTGTCAAAAATTCGTTGGAAAGATCAAAGGAAAAAAAACAAAAGAAGAACAAAGAGAGCTTCTTTAATGAGGAGTCCGCCTACAATTCACAAAATGCACAATTTGGCCTCGTCGCACAGAAATTTTGGACCAGCAGAATTTTAGAAGTCAAGTTCAAAAATAAGACAAAAAATAGCATTAATTTTCGAACCTCTTATTAATTTTCGTTTAATTTTCTTGAAAATGTTCTAAATTATTTATCTCAGATGAACTTTTCTTCAGGTAGTAAAACTGGCTGAAGAAAAATTTTGAAAAAACCAACCCGATATCACAGTTATTTTCACTCGTCGAGAATGGTCGGAACAAAAGATTTTGGAAAAAATTGGAAACTCTTTGTTGCATCACTTCCATATTGATCCCTATGACATCTGATGCAACTAACCAAGGCTGACCTCCGTACCAAAATGTTTTAAATATAATTCCGTACAATAGTTATCAATAAATTCCATACACGAAGCAAATTCCATGCTTATCCTTTACAATATGATTCTTTTACGATAACATTTTGAGTCGCTAAATCAATATATACTCAAACAAGCAAACTGATAAGGCATGCAAATATTTGTGTTTTTTGTCTATAACGTAATCCAAGATGATTTTCTCATTAAAAAGGAACGGAAAAGTCATGATTGTCACAAAAATACAATAAACAATCTCTATGCAAACCAACAAAGTATTTTTGGTTGTAGTTTTGAATTATTTGAATAATTTAGTCAATGAACTTTTTTATTTTTCAATAATTCGTTTTAAATTAAAAAAGTGTAAATTTTTTGAATTAAAATATTTTGAAGCATCTTGTGCCCAAAATGAGAATTCAAGTCTCTAGATCCCAGTTTTTTGCTTCAACCCCGGAACTGAAATAAGGAATCCAAATGCTATCTTAAAAAACCACTTTAATCTCAGCTAAAAGTTTTTAGCTCAGCTTATCAGCAATTTATTTAATATTTGATTTGTTCAATAAAGTTTTATGACAATCTATCGTTCTTGCAAAATTGCATTATAATTCCGATAACCAAATTTGTCTGAACAAGTAAGTATCTAAAAACAAGCAAAAACCACTATGTATTTTTTTAACAGTAAAAACAGTATTTTTTCGATTATGATAGTTGCACAAAACTACAAAGTGCTACACAATAGTTAAACTTTAAAAAAGACAATTATAAGTTTGATTGATGGATATTAGAAAGTTACTACCAAAAAAGAATGTGTCTTTGAGTGTGTACGTGTAAAAAAAAGCATTTGCAACAATTAAATTTACTCAAGGCAGAGAACAAAAAAGCATTGGTGCCTGTCGCCTGTTGAATATTTTTTTTTGTTAAATCTTTGAAATACTTTCTTCGATATTTGTAATTAGAACAAAATTACTCGCATCTAATAATCTCTCGGGTCTAAGCTCTAAAATACCTCGCGGTCTAATAAGCTCGCGGTCTAAACTCTAAAAATCAGACTGCTTCAGTCTAGAGAGTGAAAATCAGTCTAGAGAGTGAATTTTGCTTTAAAAAACTGTCAATATAAAAAAAATTGAGTTTTGATCACCATGAGGCCAAACTGTGCACTAGATTGGCGCTTTCTTTGGTTTGACTAGGTCTCTGATATCCAGACACAAGTCTTTAAACATGTTAAAACTATCGTCGGAATAAAAAAAATTGGCAGAAGAACAAAAATTGCGTCCTTGATGCAGAATCCACTTAAAACTCACAAAATACACTGTTTGGCCTGGTAATGATTGGAATTTTTTCATTTGTTTTTTGAAAACATAAAAGTTTTTAAATCAATTCTTACTCTTTAGAGTGAATCAATTCAACTCATGCGTTAATAGCACGATAATATTACGCGTTGACTGTCCCAAACTCGCGCAACTGGCAGAATTTAATCACCCATAACTTCCAAGAAGTAGTTTTTTTTTAATTTGAGGACAACTTTTCCTTTAAGTCAATTTAAAAAATTCTGTCAAAAGTTGTTATTTAAAAAATAAATTTTTTTTTATGCAAAAAGAAACACCCCGAGCACATGATTTCCGCCTTTATCTTCGAAAGTCGGAAAAATTAGAAAAATTAAATTTCCTTTCTTAGATTACTTTGATTCAACCGAGAAGTGCTGCTAAACTATACAGTGTCTTTTTTTTGCAGATATTCTTTCAGTTTTTAAACGGTTGCTCCATTGATTTTGACCTTTTGAATTGTGTTTTAGTTCTGTTCACCGGCACTTTATTGTCAAAACAACAATAGTTCAGTATTTAGTGAGTCAGCACAAAAAATCATCCAAACAAATGGCATCTATATACTTTATTTCAATCAAAAAAGAACAAAAACGTACTAGTTTACGTTTGTAACATCACCTGCCGCTTATGACGAGTCAAAAGAAATCAAAAAAGCTTAAGAAATGAAGCTTTTTAATAAATACTTAATTTAGAAATCATATCTTTTGATAAGAGAAGTATACATTTTCAATAAAATAATCCCCTCACATGCAATCTTTCTATAGTGATTTACAAAAGTAGGTTTCTATGTTTCCACAAAATCTTTTCGCAAACAAAGCGGTATAAAAAACAACAGCAAAAAAACATCGTGCAGCTTATAAAATGCTTTTAAAATGATGTGAAGGCATTTCTATAACGATTAGATTCATTTATACAATACAATCAACCTTTTTAAACTGCAAAAAAAAGCATATTATTTTCAATCGATCGTATCTGTTTTTGATTGTTCTGGAAAAAGATGTATTCAAAAATTTTGTTCCAAAAATTAGTCATTCTTTTCCTTGCAGTTTTTTGTGCAATTATTTATTTTTTTGCTTACTTCAAAGACGGTATACATCGGTTCCAAATGGTTAAATTGTGGCGTGGTGTTACACAAAATGCTGCTAGATTTTCGCAGAACTTTGAGTTTGATCAAAAATCCAAAGTTGAAATTGTACATTTGAAACACTTTTCGGAAAATTTTTCTTCAACAAACCAACAATTATTTTTCACTGAAACAGGTTTTAGAAGCACTTTAAGAGGTCGCCAACTTTGTTCTATCGAATCTGCTATTCTCAATTCTGGCCTACGTGTTAAAGTTCTTATGACAAAAAATTATTTGGAAGTAAAACAGAACTCTGTTATTTCAAATTTTCTTTACTATTATTATCCAGAAATAGTGGATTTCTATTACATTGATGCGGAAGAAATATTAAAAAACACACCACTGGAAGGAATATCCAAGACGAGAATAACCCAAGGAAAATACCGTGGAAATCACTTAAGCGATTTTGTCCGCCATGCCCTCATATATAAGTTTGGAGGTTGAGGGTCTCTACTAAAAAAACTGCCAGCAAAAAAATTTTTTCTAACAAAAACATAACAAACGAAATATTGTTTGTCGATACCATTGTTTGTCTACGACGTTAAATTTAGATTTAATTTTTTGTACGAGAACTACCAGGGTAATCTATTTTTTAAAATATTCTATTGACCCATTTTTTAATTCAATTGTTCGAAGCTAGATCGATTCGAAAATATTTTTTACCTGCGTCAGACAAAGCGTGAATCATCTGTCGCCACTGAGTGTGGTGATCAACTATTGATTTAAAATTTTTTCAAAAATTGCCTTCATTGCTTTGTTATTTTTTGCTGTGCAAAATGGGAATCAGAAAAACTTTGCCAGCTTATAAAGTAGAAAGACCCTATTTCTGTTGGTTTTTTTGTTTCCAAAACTTTTTTTCTTTAAACAAAACCGGGACAGTGAGCATGAAAAACTGCAGCTCAAAGACTCTGAAAAACCTTTAACTTTTCAACTCACCTCCATTTTTGTTTCTGATTACAGGGTCCAAAAAAGCAACAAACTTATTCATTTACATACAAATCAAATGGTAGCTGATTTACTCATTATTAAAAATAAAGTAAGTACCAAAAACCAAGAAGATTATTTAAAAAATCAAAAATGGTAAATTATCAGACATTGATCAAGGCAGATGTAAGCATGCCATTAAAATAAATAGGAGTTTTTAGCCTGTTGAAAAAAGTTATCCAGAGAAACGGAAAAAATCTAATTTTTGTAATGCAGAACTACAATATGCAGACAAAAAAATAAAGTTTGCATGCAAAACTGTTTTTTGGAAATGTTTGTATGAGTGCAAAACTCAATTTGCGATTGAAAAATTGGGACAATTTTAATGTTACTTGGAAAAACTTTGGTTGTCGCCATCCAAAAAAAATGGTGGTCGTACAATTTTCATATATGGAAATTGTATGAAAAACATTTTTTTCCAAAAAAAAACAAATTTTTTTTCACCACCAGACTGTTTTATTTGGTTCAAACAGCCGCAGAAACTAATTCGAATTTTTTTCAATGACTTTTTGAAACTGTGTGAAAAGTGTATGACATCATTTTTCTACACATTTGATGTATGGAATTGTATGATAAGCATTTTCGGTGGATGAAAGTGTAAGATAATCATTTTCTGTTTATGGAGGTCAACCCGGGTAAGTAATCCACTTTAGCATTGTTTTGCTGATCTGTATTACGAGGCCAAACCGTGCATTGGATAGGCGCGCGATTTTGTGTATGTATGTTCCTGGATTCCAGAGACAAATCTTTGAACATTTTGATATTTTGTCGGAATGATTTAAGAAACTGAAAGAATAAAAGTGTTAAGATTCAGAGTTAGAGCAACTAGGATTAAGAACTGCGGTTAGAGACTGAGAGATAATCTGAGGCTTGAAGTGAGGATTGAGAAGAGGTAGTGATTGATGAAGAAGGAATTGAGAAAGTGAATATAACTGACATGACAAACTAAGCATCACAAAAGTACCATTTAATAAATTGGTGACTAATTAATTAGTTTGACCTAGTTGACCTTGTCTGACTTGGTCTGACCTCAACAAAAAGAAGAACAAAAGAGCGCGTCCTTGTTGCGTAATCCGCTTTCAATTTACAAAATACACAGTTTAGTCTCGTAATGCGTAGCCAAACAATTCGAACTTTTCTCAAGAAGGTTTTTCTATAACCAGTTACTAATAACAATCAAAATAAGAGAAAAATTGTATTAGTCGACACCACTCCCCCGCCCCACTTTTAACAAATCAACCCCCTCACGACTCGAAGAGTCCCTTTTTTGGTGTTGTTTTACGGTATCCATTTTTTGGCCGGCCTACAGACAGCTCTTGAAGGCTGACTATATTTGAGGGCTGAGCACACCGAAAAAACAGAATTTATGTTTAAAAAAATTATAAATAAGGGCCTAAAACGGCACTTATGTTTTTTTTTAATCAGGCTCCTAAGGAACACTGTAACTCTCTAAGCAAAAACTATTGCTCTTTTACTTAATAGCCTCCCATAAAAGGGGATACTCGAGAACTTCAGCCGGTGTAATTTTGCCCACTCGTTTCCAAGAAAAAATTTATTAATTGATATTTGAGATTTTAAATACAGGTTTAAGACGCATATGTTTATTTCCTAACCTATCTCAAGTTTTGAAGATATATGACAAACAAAAGTTTTCGAAAATGATCTCATTAACATTTTTTTAAAAGATACAATTTTAAAAATTGAAAGGTTAAATACGAAAAAGGAATCGAAAAAGAATTGACCCTCTCAGGTTTTTACGCGGACTTGGACGTTGTGATTATCCGGAATTTGAAGGAGTTGCGAAATGTATATTGTGTCGACCGAATGTGGAACTACCAGAAGTAAGTTTGAGTTGATTTATGGTAATATTCAAAATAATTTCTAAAAATTTCTAAACTCCTTTTGAAGTGAAAAAAATTGGTTGCTCCTTCGAGTAACCAAAATCAGTTCATTGAAAAGAACCGCACTCAGTAAAAAAATATTTAACAACAAACTTATTATGTTTTTAAAATAAAAATTGTAATTACTCATTAGAGTCAAATTTACATGTTCAATCGAGTTATAATCCATTATAAAAACAACATTTTTCATGGAAAGAAAATAAATCAAATCCAATTACTGTTGACTACAATTTTTGTTAAAAATCTTTCAAAATTGATTATATATTTTTTTCTTTTTTAACACACAAAATGTAACAGCACAAACAAGATAATTTATAATGGATTACAATTTTCTGACAATCACTAAAATTGAGATGTCTTGTTTTGTTTTGGTTAATCTGAACGCAAACTTTTAGATCGAAAAAAAGCTTGTTAGTAATCCTTCAAGTTTAATGAAAGATTTGCGCAGTAGGTGAAACTTCCTATGCTAAACTGCTCATCAAGCTAAAGCAATATTTTGGTGATACATGAAAAAATGTTAAAATTTGCATTATGAAAAAAATTAAATGATGAAAAAATTTCAAAAATAGTTAAATGAGTAAGTTGATTTCAAAACTGCTGAAACTACTTTTTACAATCACGAAATTGATTAAAATGAATTTAACTACTCAAAAAATGGTGAAAAATTTAACTCGTTTCAGTCAATTATAACCACCTTTTTGCAGGTTTCATAGAGATAGACCACAAAATTTACATTTAATTATAATCAATCCTATCAAATTGCATAAAAAATGGATATAAAAAAGTGGTTCCTTCTAGCAATCCCACGCTATGATACCTATTTTTGCACTCCCCCGCAAAGAACTCTTTCAAATTTCAAACAAGTCTTAGTTTTTTACGTTTCAACAAATTTTACCCTTTTTTTTCATTACGGGGAAAAGTTAACAAGATCCTAAAAATCAATTATTGCTAAAACCATAATTAGTCAACACAAAATTTTTTTCACACTTTTATTAAAATATTTTCAAGTCATTGAAAGTCATTAAATTATTTTCAATTCCTTGAAAGTTGTAGTGTGACTGACCTTTCATCATTTGTTTTATAATCTTATTTGATTTGATTCTTGCTTTTAGTATGAAAAGTTTCAGTATGAAAAATTTTTTATTTGTTGATACTGTTTTTCTGCAAAATGACTATCAAAAGACAATTTGTAGGTTAACTTTTTGTAAAAGTTTTATACTAGCGGAACTTCATGCGTTCTGAACTACCACCCAGGTACAGTTAAGCAACGGATTCTCATGTCAAGTTTCATGAACTTCATAATGCATTATTTCACTGTATGTATTTTGAACTTTTCATGAATTATAAGTTTTGCTTTAAAATCAATGGAGTGCTTCAAGTTTATCAAAACCAATGTTATCATTTCTTCAACGGTTCATCTTGCTTTGGGTTTGGCTTTTTCGGAGTTTCAGCATAAGAACTAACGATTTTGATGAAGATGAAACGATGAAAAAAAAAATTTGATGCAGATATTTTTGCTGATAATTTTTAATTTGTACCTTTTAAAAACAATTAGGTCCCGTAATTACATTTCAACCCTTGAGAAAATAACTTTGATCCATCTGAAAAACAATTCGAAATTTAAGCAAAAAAAAAATGGGACTTCGAAAAAATTTTGCTGCGAGAATTGGGACCAAGACAGATAATCCCCCTCTTTCGACTCATTTTTGCGCTACTCATTTAGCTTGTTTAGCTTTACTCATTAACAATTTAATTGAAAATAGTGAATATAAATTTACATTCAGGTTTTTTTATTTCAGAATTCCTGATAATTGCACGTTGCCAGAAGCGACTCAATTTGCAGACAGGGGACTTCAAACGGGGCAGTTTCAGTTCAACAAGGGCAGCAAATTTGTTTATGACGTCATGGTAGAAATGAACCGCACTTATGACCAAAACAGAGATACATATATGGCTGCGGGAATTCCTATACCCTTTCGAGTAGCCAAAAAATTCTTGAATCGGGAGCAAGTTTACAACACAAACAGTAAGCTCGCGTCAAAATAATTTGCAACCCCCACCCTCCCCCTCCCCACTTAAAACAGTGTGGCAAAATCCTGTCCTTACTTTGCTTCAAACTTTCCCCGTCTCCGTCTACTGTAAGACTAAAAACAGTTTTCTTATGTGCACAAAAAGCTTTGTTTGATGTGGGTTTAAAGTTGCAGGCCTATCCTCCCCAATCAACCGATGTGCACAAGGGTGTTAAGCTTGCCCCCAAAAAAACTCTCTTAAACTTATTTCACCCATTACAAAATGAGGGGGCTGGTTTGTAAGATGTTATCAATGCCTCAAAATTCACAGCTTATATTTTTTATATTGGAATGGGGTTTTTGAGTTTTTGGTCAAGTGGATAAATGGATTAAATGTATTCGTTTTTTTTTGGTTTAAAGGGATTAGGGTAAACTCTGTACGTACATCTTTCTAAAAGTCTGATTACCTCAAGTAACTTTTCTGTTTCAGCGTCCGAGCTTACAATTTTGCCGTCCTTTACTTTTCTCCCGGCTTACAATTTAATCGACGAAGTATTTTTCTCGAAACAAGAGCGGAACGAGTCTTTCTGGCAACATTTGTTCCGATGTTCGTTTTCGACCCACATGCTGAACTCGCGACTGAAGAATTATGCCGTGACAGGAGACGCGAAGCATGAGATGTACTCCTATTTAGGACCTAGATATTGCCCCAAGTCTTTTATTGATCTCAAAAAATTTTAAGCAACAAAATTTTTCAGCAGTTATTGATGTAGTACTTGAGTACTAATTTTCTTTCAGTAGAAACAGGCTGAAAACTCCGTAATTACATAAAATTGACCTAAATTTTATAAGTAAAGTAATGAAAAGAGGTCAATAACGCCAAATATTTAAATTCGTAATGATGTTTTCAGAATCTATTATCAATTATTAACTCTGCTTGATTTTGTTTCATGTAGATTAGATTGGAAAAAACTTAATAATAATATTAGTATTAAGATTTTCAGCCCTCTTCTAACAAGTTTGTTACGTGCTTTCACATTTTTACAACGCAGTGTCATATTTCAAAGTTAATTTTTAATTTTTTTAAGTCAAGTTTTTGATTATAGGTGCGATCAACAAAATAATTACTTACTGAAAATTCAAATAATTTTTCGAATAATAATCATACTAATTTAATTGAAATCAGCACTGGAGTTTCATACATAGTAATAAAATATTTTGCTTTTTTGGTGTCAGTCTTTCAAAAACCAAAAAATGATAATATCAAATTTATAAAAAAAGATTATAATGATACTGCACTTCTGAGCGACAAAATTAGAATATTTTTCAATCGATTACTTTTGCACAAACTTGAAAAAATTTTGCTTAGAAAAAAATATTCATTTTATTCGAATAAAACCCAATATTTTAATTTTTTTCGTTGACTCATTTTTCGCTAGTTTATTGAGCATATCAGTAAGTTTTGAACCAAGTAAACAAATTTTGACAAAAAATTTAATTTTTCTCAAAAATTGCACCACGTTGTTTCCAGTGGGATACTCAAATTGAAAAAAGTCATAATTTTATTTATTGTGAATTCGATGCATGTCTGTGCTTTTTTAAGTTTATTATACGAATATCTTTGATCCTGAGTTTACAAAAAAGGATCCCTAAGACATTTTTCATATGAAACGTATGAAATTTTTTGAACGTTCTTTTTTCCAAGCCTTATACAACCTCGAATTTTTTTGTTGAAAACAATAACAAAGACAATTTTTTTGAATTACACTTCCATTTGATTTGAATTTAAGGCAGTTTTGTTCTTAAAGACTTTTTTCAGGCTTCTTCTTATTTCCAGTAGAACAAAAAAAACTGATAACTAAGAGTGTGATTTTCCTTGCATTCACTCAAATTAAATGAAAAACTGTAAATTAAATTAAACAAATTTTCCATCCAATCGTGAAATGGGAAAAAGTTGATTTCTTGACGACATCTATAACATATTACTTTAAGCATGCTTTTTAAAAAAACATCCGTAAAAAATTATGGTAGGAACTCAGGAATTGATATTGGATAATTATATTTATTATAAAAACATTTCTCAAACTGTTCTGTTTTAATAAGAAGAAAATGATTGATTGATACCGATTATCAAAAAAAAACATTCAAATTTTTTAAAATTTTATGTAAATATATTTGTTTGCGAAAACCAGTTCAGTGAATACTGAACCTGATAGCTTTGTGCAGGTTGTTTGTTTTTATTATGTGTCAACTAACGAAAAACTAGTTTTCTTTATAATTCATGTAAATATTTTCGTCAAATTGATTGAAGTGAACCAAACAGATTTCTGAATGGGAGTTTAAACATAACACTCGGCCACAAATTTGTGCACAATATTTCTAATGATTATCAAATGCTCACTCAGTCGTGAATTTTGTGAACAGAAACTGAGCAAAAAAATCAAAATTTCAGAAACTGTAATAACTGTTATAGAAATCGTTTCAGAAATCTTCGAAAAACAGACAATATAAGTTTTTGATGAAAATACTTTTAGTTCCAAAAACTGAATTGACTAAGATTTTGAAAGCAGACAAGTAAATTTTTGATCAAAATAGCTTTTAATTTTAAAAATTGATCACTATCCTTGTTTTGCAGTGCAACTTCTACTGGAAACTTTTTTGAACAATTTGAATTGTTAGAGAAATGAAAAAATAGCGAGAACAAAAAAAATAGCAAAACAGCTCTAAAAGGTTTCTCAGACAAAAAAATAGTCAGAAAAACTTGCAAACTTCCAATTTTCAGTCACTCAAAGTTATGCAAAACACTAACTCTTTTACGATATAGTTTTTTAATCGTTCAAAAAAAAGTTTTGTTCGCAAATTGTTTGGTCTTAAACTAGTTTTTAAACCAACGACTGATTTAATGTTGCGTTCTTGCAAAAGTACGCATCACTATTCTTTTCGTTAGTGCTCTTATGAGATCTTCTAAGCTAAGAGTGCACAAAACAAACCGAACCTTGAGCTCGTAAACAACTTCAATTCTGATCTTCAACAGCCGAAAAATAAGCGACGATTGATTCTGCTTTTTCTACAGTTAATTTCTATATGTTTTAAGAACTTTTTTCTGCACGCTTTCTTTCGATAAAAAGAACTATAGTAGTTAGCATTGTAGGCGAATCATGAACTGTTTCTCCCATACTGATTTAAAATCAAAGAAGCGTTTTTGTTAAAGCACGGGTCAAGCAATTTTTCAGTTTTTGTTTAATTTCTTATTTGAAAAGAGAAAAGACACAAAACATAACGAACACAAAACATATTTGAAATTGACTTAATTTGGCGAACAGTGCGACTAGTTAGGCTAAAACAAATTTTTTTGGTATTCAAACCCAACCATGTAAAATCACTCGTTACACCGTAAAACTGATTCTCGAGTGAAAAAGAGCCGCCAAATCATAGCAGAAATTCTTTTCTGCATAATCTGATGAGACAATTTGCATACTGAAAACTACTTAAACTGCAAAAAAAAAATTGAAAAAACTTTGGATATTTTGGCATATTTTGGTTTTTGATAGTTTTGGTTTATTTTACAGGGTATCTACTCAAAACAGAAGAAAAAATTGCCAAATGAAAACACATGTGACACTCTACTTTTACTTTTTTGGAATAGCGTTTGTCACTTTTTACATGTAATTAACCTTAATGCGCATGCCCTTTTTTCGATAAAAAGCTAAAAACATCTATCAATCGAACGGGACTATAAGACACATATCAGAAGCGATTGAAAACGTTAATATGGTCCATTGACCTTCTCTCAAGCTTGAAATTAAGACGTGAATTCAACAAAAACTCGGTTTAAAGTTTAAACCTGAAAAGTATGCTTTTTATTGAGTGGTTTGACTTCTATTGGAGAGAACTCTTATTTCATTTGGATTAGATCTGGACCGTGATCGGGATGATGATAACTTTTATCAGGTTTTTCTCGTCTTCGTGATCCAGTGCATACTTCTGGCAAAGAATATGTTCCCTGAATCTATTTGGGAAGGCGTCTTTGTGATGTTTTCAAGTTGAAAATGGACACTGTAGGAGCGGATTGGCTGCCGACAGGTAGTTTTTTAAGAGTGCCGACAGGTAGTTTTTTAGTTTTCCTCTCTAAAGGTTTTCCATGGAAGCATTCCATTTGCATTCGAGATAAAGATGTGTTTGACACATTGGTGTTTGAGTAACTCAGAGAAACAGGTGTGGCTTTTCGATAAAACTTTGCCGTCTATAAACATTGCGATTGAGGAGCATTGCACATACAGAAAGAGCGCTTATTTTTTCCATTAACCTTTGAGAGTTTGTCTTAACTTTACAATTAAAAGTTCTGATGAGAACTTTGATTAAGTTTTGTTGAAACTCAATAAAACATAACCAATTCTTGAATCCTGCCAGGCACACAGAAGAAAAGCAAAAGTTTTGAGAGAGCGCGGAATATTTGTTTTGGTTAATTAAACGTTGACATACAATTTTTTCATAAATCTGTCCATCCCCTTGCGAAAAACCTCGATCAATCGAAACTTATTAATGAGTTGGATACATCTGTCGACCATTGCTTCAATAGCGTGTTCGTTTGAGTCACTTTTGATGAACTCTTTAAAAAAAGTTGATGCGCAATAAGTAAAAAGACCCATTAAAAAAGTTTTTTTTTCAGGTTCTAAGAACAAAAACACAGGGATAATGAAAAAACTAATTTTTTTTTACAATCAGAGTGGAACATGAGGCCCGGCCTCGTTGAAAACAAAAATTTCAATCCGTGGCCCGTTTCAACAAAACTCGAATTTCCTAATAAAAGTACCCGCACTCAGTAAAAAGAGAAAATAATAGATTAAAAGGGAGTTGAAAGAATTGATTATGGGCGATTTAAAGGAATTATAATATTATTTTTTTCGTAACAATAAAACTCATTTTAATCGATTATAATCGATTATTTTTTTAAAACTTTTGTCTCAAATTTTGTTGAAATAAAATCCATTATAATGGATTATAATCTATTATGATTCAACAAACGTAATCGCTGCATTTCTTTTTGTTTTTGTTTTGCTTTGTGTGCTTTTCAGTTGGTTAGTGAACTAATAGAAACTGCAATTTTGCATTTATAGCCAGGGGCTCATTAGGGGGGGGGGGGGCTGATTTAAGCGTTCTCAATGATTCAAACACCTGGTGACCCAAAGGATCCCTCCTTTGAACTATCTTGAGATATCCATTTCTAGTGACGGAGCCTATACAATTTCTAAAAGCGCTTTTGTCAGTTTTTCTGCGCGCAGTCTAAATTTTGAAAAAAAACGGGCCAAAACCACAATTTTTTTGTCAAAATTTTCCAAAAAGTGCCTAAGAGCGCAAAATTTGACAAAAAAAACGGGTCTTTTTAGTGCTATGAGTGAGCTCTGAAAATCAATTTAGTCGATCTACAAAAAATGCGGCAAATAGGTTGCGGCAAA